GAAAGATCCATATGTCTTCTAATAATACCACCAAAGGAAGCTTCGCGTACAGGTGTTGCAGCAGCATTACTAGAGGGAGCTACGTGACTTCCATACCTTCCCAACAAAGCTACACAACACACCTCTCAACACATCTCCCCAACATAGCAACACAACACATCCCCAACATAGTAACACATCTCCCCAACATAGCAACACAACACACCTCCCCAACATAGCAACAACCCTCCTTGTTACAGTAATTCCAGCTCTTTTGGAAGGAAAACCTAAGCTAGTGTAGCTACTGAAGTTGTTGAATACTTGATGATTTCCCCATTCCCTTAGCCCAAGTTGACCTCTTGTATACATCTCATCCTGTGTTGGAATAACTCTGGCAAACATATTTATCTTTTGTTACCAACAGTCTGCATGATCAGAGCCCGCGCCACCCTACCAGGTGTTCCTTCCTTGCTGTAGCTTCCTACAAGGTACTTCACTCCTGACCTGGTCGATGCCAATACTGGCCTCAAAATGGTTACATAATAATTCCAGACAATTGACGGCAGTTCAAGAGGTCTGATGATACCGTGTTGCACTTAATGAGTATTCTCAACAGTGTTCACTTTCTCTAGTGTTATATTAATTTTGTTTTCTAATTCTTTCAAATTTTGAGGACAGGTGGTCCAAATGCAGCAGGTTGTTCATAATTTTGCAATTTTTTTTTTCTCTCTCTCTCTCTCTCTCTCTCCATTTTAACCACTAGTTTCTGTTCCTTTGCACCCATGTCAAGGATAAATTTTATTATTTTTACTTGATATTTGTCTTTTAGTTTGTTTTTCGACTTTTTTTGTCAATGAGTAGTACCCTGATAAGCATGAGTCTACGTGTCTCTTAAAAGAGTCTACATGTATCTCATATTTATAAGTTTACATGTGTCTCATACGAGTGTCTACTTGTGTATCTTATACAAGACTCTTACAGTAACCGGAGGGTACTGGATCCTATGATTAAGAGCCAGTCCTTGGATCAAACCTAATTACCTCTCATTGCCAAGGAACTGTATGACCAATAAGGATTTAGAGCTTCCCCCTGATTATAATAACAAGATCGTGTAATATGGTGTTGTGTACCTAAGTGCGCATGCACTGCGCCTGCCTCTGACGGCCTTTATCTGGGTACAGGTCTTCAATTCTGCACGAATGTTCACTATTATATCCCCATCCTGCGAACAGTAAAGGACTACAGATGTACATAATGGGTCCACTAACTAGGCTTAATTCTATAAAGTCTCCTGGTAAACTAGAATCAACGATAGTTCCTGATATTACACGGAGGTTACCACTGAGATTAGTTCCTCGTTACACACTACCCTAAAATTATTTCCTATGTTTAGTTTTCTATTTTATTTAAATTATATTGACCCAGTTTTCCCATGATGTAGAAGCTTGACTATTAACCAGTGCTTCGTGGCTTTAATTCAGAGGACATTTTAGTTATATCCTGTGTATCTTTTCCTGACAAAAAGCACGCGGATGTACTCTAACGGAGCAGTTATCATAATCCATACATGGTAAAACGCTAGACCAGTATCTAATCTGCGCACTAAAATGACTTGTTGGGGGTCAGATATATGCGACGAAGCGTAGAAAAACCTAATTGGGCGCCTTTAACACACAGAACATTATCAATATGGAGATGTACAACTCTTTAACTAAAAAAAAAACATTGCTGGGAATCTTCAAGACAAAGTTTGGCACGTTTCTAGGGACACCTGATCAATTAAACTGTGATAGGTATGTGGCCGTGCGAGCTGCAGGCTGCGGCTATCAAGAGAGAACAGGAAGATGAGGTGTGTGGAGGCAGGTCGGCAGGCAGCAGTTGACTGGTGTTTGAGGTGCGACGCTGCATCTCTCACGCACCAACACAAACACACGAGCCTAGCAGCACGCTCGCCACTCTCCCTCACCCTTACCATCATCACCCTCCCCTACACCCCCCTCGCTTGCCACTCCCCGATTACTGACCCCCTCCCCCCTACAAAGATACCACGCCGGCCCCAGGCTGGGTGTCCACTTTGTAGGATGCAGCCTGGGAATACCATCCTCACTTTACTGCGATGATGCTCTTACGACAGTCACAACGCCAGTTTTTTTACTGTATTCTGTAATCTTACAAACAGAACTGTTTTAGGACAGAGTACATTAGGTGGCATAAACTTATCAAAACGTATGTTGAACAATAGAAAAGCTATGTATGATAATTCTGTGTAACTGTATTTGTGTATACCTGAATAAACTTACTTACTTACTAACGACCGGCACACTTCTGAAAAGGTTATTGCTGAGCAACGCCAGGAAACGTTTACACATGCACACGTATTACACTGGGTGCGAGGTGCCCTCTGTCCCCTAGCGTGTGCCAACGTTGTTAATACAGTTTGTCATAAGTGAGAACATAAGACCTACTGGCCCATGTTGGGATGGTCCTGAAACAAACTATTTTTACTCTCTTTTACTTGTAATCTTTCTCACTATACACTGGGCCAACCTAATTTTAAAGCTTCATTGGTTACTTAGCAGATAGCTCCACTAATCCACAAGTCTCTTATTAAACTAGTAATTTAATAAATCCTTTCTAAATCCAAATATATCTTCTTCGAATCTATTATTTAGTGTTCTCTCTTGGTTAGATATTTTTAGCACTGTACAACCTTATTTATATCTCACTTGTGTACGCCTAACTTTCATTTATATATTTTTTAATCATATCTCTTTATTTCACTTTTTTCAAGCATGTGAAGGTTCAGGGCTCTCAGTCCATCTTCTTATGTAAGACTTCTTATACCTGAAGAGGGTTTCGGGGGTCAACGCCCCCGTGACTCGGTCTGTGACCAGGACTCGCGGTGGACCAGGGCCTGATCAACCAGGCTGTTACTGTGGATTGATTTTGTCATCATTCTTTGTATGTTCTCCAGCGCACTTATATCTGTAGTACGGAAACCTGAAATGAGCCCCATAATATATGTCTCATACTTCTTGATATAAATCCAGTGAGTCTATTATCCTTAATATGGAAATATAGGCACATTTGTCTTGGCTTCAGATTTTTTTCCTAGATAGAACCCTAAGATAAAAGATACTAGGGGAAAACGTTTTGCAACGAGTGGCTTCAATTATGGGACCAAAAAGTTGGAGCTACTTAAAACTAACTCTGGACAGGTTATTGATAACGAGTAAGAAATTAGTTCGATTTTTTTAGCAATTGCTTCCTGTTGATCTTTAAACAAAAAGATACAAACGAAATCCAAACATTATATTTATCTTCAGAAAAATATAAAATACGTAATAGCACAGTCACTGTTTGCATGCAATAAAGACACAAACTGCAAGAAAAGTTGCTGTAAGACCGACACTGAAAAATCACAGAATGGATGAGACTCGAACCCATGGCAGGCGAGTCCTAAGGTTCGCAGGCCAGTGTGTTAACCACTAGCTTCGATCCCACCCGTTCTGTGATTTGTTTGCAGTCGTGTTTATACGATTTCCTGATTCATGAACTCGACGCCGGAAGAAAGTCACTATGGCAGAATGGAAAATTTGTTAGGACATTAACATTTAATGTATTTAAAAGTTTCCTAGTAAAAATATCCTATAATTGCAATTTGTGTCCTCGTTGCACACGTACACTGCGATCTTACCTAGTTCATTTCCCTGAAGTTCAATAAATAACTCAGAAATGTTTACTACTACTACTTATTAATACTCTAACTATTGCTGCTGCTGCTGCTACTACTACACACTGCTACTGCTGTTGCCGCTGCTACTATTACAGCACCTATTGCTATCATAACAGCTTCTTTTATCAGTAGTTGCTACTGTTACCACTTTTACAGATGCTACAACTATTACTACTGACTAAGGATTATGTTGACCATAACATAAGTAGATAAGACTTAGTGGAAAATAAAGTAACACTGCAGTAGGCCTACATACCCATGGTAGGCAGGACTTGCCTAGCCACACTTGCCCATGGTAGGCGGGACTTACTCGCTGTAGTTGCCACACTTGCCCACGGCAGGTAGGTCATACTCACACTCAATCTTCATACTGGGAAATGAGAAGTGGTAAAGAAAATAAGTTGATTTAAATTAGTCACTATGATAGAATACATACCTGGGGACAAAGTTTCTCATGCAGTCCACTCATAAATTTGTCTTACTTGGTTTAAAGCTGATATATTATTTGTTTACACAGATATTTTTAAGTTACAGACATTTTCAGGTCAGTCTGACTGGAAGAATCTGTAACACAGGCGAAATCTGGTCAGTGTTATAAGTGCCTAAATTGCCGCTTACTGGCTATATTTTGGCAACAAACTGTCTACAGCCACTCATTAATATTATTGTCAGTTTTATTACCAAATCAGAACTTTCTTACACCCCTCCAAAAAATGACTTCAACTACCTTAAATCCAGTGATTCCAGATATTTTTTGACTAGGTATCTTCAGAATCCTATTTATATATCGTTTATTTATATCTGTCTTACGTTAGTACAATTAATATATCTCTCGTGTTGCACCTTCAGGAGTGTGTAGGTTCTCAACTCTTAATATATTATTCTCTATATATTTTTACAGCATATTAATGATCATTTTAAAACATGAAAATCAGAGCTGTGCCACTATGAGGCGTTACTACTGTAAGTACCTTGTTATTGCTAGGTGAACAGGAGCAGTAGGTGTAAGAAGGTTGTCAGGGAGGTCACAGAAAAGGTTACAGTTGTATCTAGAGTAAAAGGTTGGACTCAGTGATCGTACTCAGGGACTTTCGGTTGAAAACCCATCATTGTACCATTCGTTAAGCACAGAAACGTTGCCCATTTTCGTTTACAAATTACACTTGAATTATCCGTAGTATTCCCCGTGCATGTATATTTCGCAGTAACGTTTGATCATCTCACTTGTTCCCTCCGTTGCCTCATGTTGGGGAAGCGAGAGTTTCTGGTTCTCACCACATCCACCACCACTGAGTCACCGCGCACGTTACTTATATATAAGACCCGAGATACAACACCCGCTCAGTGTGTCTTAGTGTCTGCAGGAGTGTGGGTTTACTCTCGTACTTAACCTGCAAAAGTGTTTGTGCTGTGGATTGACAATATTTTAGTTCTTAAAAGTGAGTATTGTGTGTGCTGGACTGTAACAAAAGAGTGTTTCCTCGGATGTAAAATGTACGTGATGTTGCATTATTTTTTAAATAAGAAAGCATTTAATAAATATGTCTGATAGAATTTATATGATTCAAGTGTTGAAACTAATGTAATTTAATCAGTGGTTTGATATCAATTCTGAGAAAAGTACCAACATTTTGCAATCAAATTACCAGAAAATATTTTTTATATCTGAATTTTTTTTTTCAACTTACCATTATTATATTCGTGTATACACATGGATTTATATTTCCAATTTACATAAAAGTATCGCTTCAGTTATTTATATTCTTAAATTTTAGACTGCATAATATTAAGTTTTATAAGAGTAAAACATGGTTGGTGGAAGGTCTTGCTTCTTGTGCTGAGTTTGTGGTTTTAACCTATAAAGCAAAGATCATTTTGGCAGGCAAGACGAGCGTGTATTTATTTTTACTTTAACTCTACGAAAATGAATCTGAAGCTCTCATCATTAATGAATAAAAAGTCGCAATACCGTGGCTAGAATAATTCACCCAAAATTAACACTTAGGACGACATTTCGGGTCTTGGACCATCGTCAGGTCACAACTGTACTTGTAACAACAATGATTTAAAAGGGACAGAAACGTCCTCATAATGTTCCTCTTCTAAGTGAGGTATTTTTTTGGCGTTTCTCAAAATTAATGTCATACTGTTAAATAATAGATCTAGGCTGACCTTAGAAAAGCAGGATTATGATACTGTATGTTACGATATGCAAGTTCTAGCAAAGCTAAGCTAGGTTAAGTAAATAAGTTTATTCAGGTATATGTACACAAAAGTACAGTAATATAAATTGTCATACATAGCAGTATATGTGTAGATTACCGAGGGTAACCCCAAAAAAGCTACTTATTTCCATTGGTGTTAGTTTATATACAGACAGCTTGTTGACCATTTCATTTCACATAAATATATCAAACCACAAGAAAAAATATTACTGAAAATAGTGTTTTAAATATGTATGTAAATGAAGAGATAAAATTAACAGATTAAGTGTAAGTGTAAATGACTCAGTCAGAGAGTAATGAAGCTGTGGTGTAAATAACACATGAAAAATGGAAACTATAATAGTTAATATTAATTATGATCATGAGCTGTATTAAAGTTCTAACATAACTGACAAGATAAAATCAATAATATTGGCATAATAACGTCCATTAGTCTTGGTATTTTATACCATAAATGTAATTATTGGTTATAATTGCAGTTATGAGTTCTGTTGATATAGTGTGTATGGCGTAGGTATGGATTAATAATTTAATTTTCTTTATTTATAGAGCCAAGAGGATATCAACAATGGTCGCTCCGTACTTCGAGGGTCACTTGAAGAGGTCTCTGGTTCGTATACCGAACAGATCCTCGGACAGATCTCAGAAAGCCATCATCGCTGACCTCTCCAGAGTGTCTGGCCTGGCCGCCATGTTGAATGTTTCCCGTGGCTTGCCCCCTGGTTGCCTCTTCAACCCGTCTGTCTCTTCTCAACTCGTGTCCAACACGGGTAAAATATCTACAAACGCTAATGCTTCCCCGACAACTCCAGTGGCCACCTCAAGACCTACTACTTTACCTCCTCAACCACCTAACGCAATGACTCCCAGTTCATCTGATCAAGCCATCAGGACGAGGCCTACCACATTACCTGTTGAAGAGGTCACCGCTTCACCAGTAAGGGTAACTCCATTAATAATACCAACGAGAGCACCCCACATAAATATTTCAACTTGCCGGAAACACCCTAGACCTGATGAACCTCATGACGTGGTATCGAGAGATGTCTTCCCGCCCTCTAAGAAAGCTCGAGTTACGCCAGAAACGTCTACTGAAGAAGTTCAGCATGCTGGAATGCTCCAGTCACCCACTGGCACCACTGGTATAAGAATGATACCTGTATATGCAGTGCCCCTGACGCAATACGTCTCCTCACACCTCCTGCAAGAGAGAAACAGACTCAAACAAGAGAATTTGGTTCTGAAACGGCGACTGATTCAGATCCAGCAGCTCTTCCGCAACAAACAGCAACTAACCACCGTGGTCAGGAACCTTGGTATTCAGGTGCAGGAATAAGCTCTAAGACGAGGCTGACGTATTGTAATTCTGGTCAAAGAACTTTCCTCACCATCTATTATCGTCCCATCATTATATACCAATGTTGTCATTCTCGGCCCATTGAATAATGTTATTAATTTGTGTAATGACCGTCACCTTATGTGAAATTTATTTAAGAAATTCAGTAATATAACTTAGTGCAGTGCCATTATATGCAGTTTAAAATCCCTTTTAATATGTATCATATCTACCGAAACCATAACCCTCAAGGAAGGTTCCTTAAGGCCGGTGAAGTGCTCTTGATCCAAGGATTTGGTCCTAAACGCCTCTTCCCGGGATCAAATTTAATTACCCGCCATTCCCTCAGGTGCTATATGGTTCCTAAGGCTTTAGTGTTTTCCCATAAATGTAGTAATACCAAGACAAATTAAGTCGAGTTTTAGTGACAAACCATTATCTTCAATGGTTATACTGTAGTTATAATATTCTTTACTGTGGCATGTATGTATTTGTGCATATGTACACTGTAATATATATATATATATATATATATATATATATATATTATATATATATATATATATATATATATATATATATATATATATATTATATAATATATATATTAAATGTTAAATGCACACTAAGTATATTCTATTTAAATTGGACGGTAATCGAACCCAAGGCTTCGTCAGATTGCAGGTTTCGATCACACGTAACCTTGGGTTCACTTCCCGTGCAGGGTTCAGCGGTAGCTAAATGTTCATAGATCAGTGCAAGAAGGTATATAAAAAAGTGTGACCTTAATATTTGAGGTGTGTGAGATGCCGTCATCAGCGTGTGAGAGACGTAGCATGTTATGTTCTTCTCCAGAGTCGTGTTTTAGTGGAAAGACTATGCCGAAGGCATTAAAAAAAACATTATTATAGGCCATCAGTCATCACTAGTTTTAAGTTGGAGCTGTAAAATATAGAACAACTGCTGTTTATTCTCAGGGATCTTCATATAATTTATTACAGAATTCTTTATTTTCATAATAAAAATCAGTAATACCAAAGACGAAACTTGTGTATGAATCTTACCAAGAATGATTCCTTTCTGTATTATTAACCGTCTGAAGAGTTAATCATTAAATATTAACAAACAGAAAAATGATGGTAAATAAGCCGACACTAGTTTATCGCGCCACACAGGATATATACACTGAGGTGTTTTTCTCTCAGCGTATATAAGCTGAGAGTTTACTTTAAGTCTCTATTATATGGATTAAAGTTTTCTTCTCTGGTTGTGAATTATTATCGTGGGGGAGCGCTGAACCCGTAGGGATTATACAACGCCTGTGGGGGGATGGAAGGCATTCAGGCTCACTTCAGGGAACTGGAGCACAGATCCAATTCCCTAGATCAAGAGCCCCTCACCAGGGGTCTGGTGATTAAGGGTTACGTGAAGCCTTAATGACCCTCGTGTAGTTGATAGTCTTTAAACCCCATTCACCATCCTTGCCATTAACACAAAGAATAATTTAAACCATGAAAGAGGAACAAAAACTTTTCAGTTCATATATATTGAAAACATTGCATTAAATTTCCTGGCCTCAGTTTATATACACTGCCGTAGATATGCTGGTCTGTTTATAAACAGTGAGAGCACCGCAGTAGGTGTACATACTGACCTACACTAGTCAAGAGCACCCATCAAGGAAGGTACCTTGATGCTGGTGAAGGGCTCTTGAGCTATGGACATTGGACTTATCCTTTCCTTCCCTGGATTAAACCTGCTTGCATTCCATTACTAAAAGCGCTGTATGAACTCTGTGGGCTTAGGGTTTCTTCCGTTATGAGAGTAATAATACCTGTGGTTGTCTACCTAGCTGTTTGCTGTGGTGATCTACCTGGCTGGTTGCTGTGGTTGTTTACCTAGCTGTTTGCTGTGGTGATCTACCTGGCTGGTTGTTGTGGTTGTCTACCTGGCTGTTTACTGTGGTGATCTACCTGGCTGGTTGCTGTGGTTGTCTACCTAGCTGTTTGCTGCGGTGATCTACCTGGCTGGTTGCTGTGATCTACCTGGCTGTTTGCTGTGGTGATCTACCTGGCTGGTTGTTGTGGTTGTCTACCTGGCTGTTTACTGTGGTGATCTACCTGGCTGGTTGCTGTGGTTGTCTACCTAGCTGTTTGCTGCGGTGATCTACCTGGCTGGTTGCTGTGATCTACCTGGCTGTTTGCTGTGGTGATCTACCTGGCTGGTTGCTGTGGTGATCTACTTGGCTGGTTGCTGTGGTGATCTACCTGGCTGGTTGCTGTGGTGATCTACCTGGCTGGTTGCTGTGGTGATCTACCTGGCTGGTTGCTGTGGTGATCTACCTGGCTGGTTGCTGTGGTGATCTACCTGGCTGGTTGCTGTGATCTACCTGGCTGGTTGCTGTGGTGATCTACCTGGCTGGTTGCTGTGGTGATCTACCTGGCTGGTTGCTGTGGTGATCTACCTGGCTGGTTGCTGCGCCAAGAGACTTAATATTTTATGGTGCGTAGTTTGTGTTACAGATCTTGGTGAAACGCTGCGAATTATTCACGTAATATTGTCAATCTTCCTTTTACGTCATCTTTCCCACACTGTCACCCTCCCTCCCACACTGTCACCCTCCCTACCACACTGTCACCCTCCCTACCACACTGTCACCCTCCCTCCCACACTGTCACCCTCCCTCCCACACTGTCACCCTCCCTACCACACTGTCACCCTCCCTACCACACTGCCCCGCTAATATTTCTGGGAAAATGCGTTGGATTCATGACAAACTGGAACAAGTAGGAATGAATTTGTATTGTACTTGAAAAAGAAAGATTATTTAAACAAGGAAGGCTGTTAACCCCAGTATAACTGAACAAGGTTAAGTAGTGTGGTTTAATTCCTCCGGTGTTCTCTCCCAGGGTACGCCAGCCCAACAACTCCTGCTGCTAGGTGAACAGGGGCAGCAGGTGGGAGCAGGATGTCATGGTATCAAGGTACCCTTAAATATATACATAACAAATGACACGTAAATCCAGGTGATACAAACAAGAGACTTGTGATCGCATTTGAAGAACATAATTACGATGCTTGACTATCAATATTTTCGAGATCTGATGTAAATAGTTTAAAAAATCGACAATTTGAATTAGACACTTTTGCAACATTTGAGAATCTTCATTGTGGAAACCGAGATCACCTTCACCAAGTCACGTCACTACGAGGCTACGCGATCAATATTTCTGACTGAGAGCGCCTTCACAAGTCACGTAACTTCACTTCTCTGGTTGATATCTAGGTCAGATGGCCACTACTCTATTGTGCAGCCTCAGCTTATTCTTTAATCCATTCCGGAAGCTGCGCATAATGTAAGAGACGAACTGGATGAAAGAGACTCGTAGCAGTATGAAAATTGTTTGAGCTGTTAAACTTGCAGACCAAACTTGTCCAAGAACTTGAAAACGCTTTGTTTACAAGCTAAACTGTTGTAAATGAATGTGTTAACAAAAGTGTCTCTAATCCCTATTCATTCTGTAATATGGAGACGTATTAACATGGAATAATATTACCTAGAGACAGACAGAATAATAGCTTATGTGGTATGTTAAGGTATCTAAAGACTTGTCAGGAAACATTTATCCTGTTTCCTGACGTGCTACCTAACCTAATCGAGGTATCTTATTGATGAAAATAAGATAATAGACATATCAAGTAAATATCATACATCTTGTAGAAGATAAGACAAATTGTAGTTATAAATCCAAATGTATTCGTGTTAACCATTTTTTGGGCCTAGTTCCGAGACCTTATGTGTATACATATGTTCTTGCGCTACCGTCCACATAGTGGATAAGGAGTGCACAATAAACTAGCTACTTCCGTGGCACAATCCAAAATCTTGAATTATTTTTTATAAAACCTTATTAACATGGATTCGAGCAATCTATTATTGGAATCTTAGGGCAGACACTGAGGCACTGTTGTGTCGGCTCGAGATTCATACTAGTCAGGACTCCTAAGTTCTGCTCTCATACAGAAGGATTAATTTCTACATTTTTACGACCACAGCATTACCTGAAAGAGTAAAATGTCACAGTACCGTTGTGACGCGTGAAACAATGTGATGCAAAAGTTCACTTTAACACATAAAGCAATATGACTCAATAGTTTACTGTGACACAGGAAGTAACAGCATGTGATGCAGCAATTCATTGTATCACGTGAAGCAATGTGACACAACAATTCATTACAAAACAGGAAGCTATGTGACGCAACAGGACGCAATGTGACGCAACAGGACGCAATGTGACGCAACAGGACGCAATGTGACGCAACAATTCATTGTAACACAAGAAACTAAGGTGAAGCAACAGCTCACTGTTACACTAGAAATGCGTCTTAGGCTCAGTTGTGAGCCTTAGGCGAGTGGAAGCTTCGGGCACGTTTCCTTACACTTAGTTAGTTAGTTTAATATGTTTATTATGCACCCCATACCCATCCTGTGGGCGGTAGTCAAAAGATTACAGAGGTACATAATGGGTCCAGGGACTGGGCCTCAGAGTTTTGATAGCTGAGCAAGTTACAGAGGTAATGAATTCACAATTTACAAAGGTAATGAACTCACAATTTACAAAGGTAATGAACTCCAGGTAGGTCTAGTCACAATCATGACAAGTTACAAAGGTATTTACAGATTACAGAGGTACACAATGGGTCCAGGGACCGGGCTCCAAAGTTTTGATGGCTGAACTAGGTACAAGGTAATGAACTCACAAGTTACAAAGGTAATGAACTCACAAGTTACAAAGGTAATGAACTCACAAGTTACAAAGGTAATGAATACTGTAAGAATGGTTACTTACGTGTATACATGGCTGCAATCATGAACAAATTTTAGAATAATGAGCAATTCACACTTCCACACCCGGTCACAACTGTAGTGAGTTATTGGTGCAAATGTTGATTGCTGAGTCTCTCTCTCTCACACACACACACACACACACACACATACAAATTCATACACACACACACATAATCACACACACACACACACATACACAAACTCAAAACACACACACGCACACACACTCATACACACACACACACACACTCATACACACACACACACTCATACTCACACACACACACACACACACACACACACACACACACACACACACACACACACACACACACACACACACATGCACATATGTGGTAATGCTTTATTTACAGCTAGCAAAGTCAGGGTATTTCTCCAGAATGGTCTGTAATATACCACTGTGGATAAAATACTTAGCCATTTCTTGAACACTTCTGAGTGAGTTGTTTCTAAATTCATTAATTTTATCGCACTCCAGTACATAACGACGCAGGGTGTGACAATAATCCATCTGGCAAAGTTTGGTCTACATCTGGTGGTGGTGATTTAACTTGCCAAAGATACTTGTAACCCAGCCGGAGCCGTGCGGTAGTGACATCCAAGAGTGCTCCAGTTTACACAGCAGCAAGTAGGTACC